TAGTAGTAGTAGTAGTAGTATAGTAGTAGTAGTAGTAGTAGTCGTCGTAGTAATAGTAGTCGTCGTAGTGGCAGTGGTAGTGGTAGTGGTAGTGTAGTAGTAGTAGTAGTAGTAGTAGTAGTAGTAGTAATGGTAGTCGTAGTGGTAGTGGCAGTAGTCGTAGTAGTAGTAGTAGTAGTTGTTGTTGCAGTGGTAGTCGTAGTAGTAGTAGTCGTACTCGTAGTGGTAGTGGTAGTGGTAGTTGTAGAACTAGTAGTAGTAGTAGTAGTAGTAGCAGTAGTAGTAGTAGTAGTAGTAGTAGTAGTAGTGGTGAATAGTAGCAGTAGTAATAGTAGTAGTAGTAGTTGTTGTTGTTGTTGCTGTTGTAATCGTTGTCGTAGCTGGCGCAGTTTTAGCAGTAGTGGTAGTAGTAGTAGTAGTAGTAGTAGTAGTAGTAGTAGTCGTAGTAGTAGTAGTAGTAGTAGTCGTAGTCGTCGTAGTGGTAGTGGTAGTGGTCGTGGTCGTGGTAGTGGCAGTGGCAGTGGCAGTGGCAGTGGTAGTGGCAGCAGCAGCAGAAGCAGCAGCAGCAGCAGAAGCAGCAGCAGCAGTAGGAGCAGTAGCAGAGCAGTAGCAGAAGCAGTATGCAGCGGCAGCAGTAGCAGAAGGAGCAGGGGCGGACGCTGGAGCAAGATGATGAGCAGGATAATTAGTTGTAGCAGCAGCATGTATGCATAAGCATATGTATGTGCATATATATATATATGTATGTATACACGCATACTCTGGCCCTGTCGCGAATCGTCTCGTGCAAAAGCCACACAGTTTCAGCACTTCATAGAATCGGCGTCTGTAGATTCTGTAGATCATGCGCACAACCCGCACCAGGAAAATCACACCAGGGCCGTGGCCAGGGCTGTCAATGTCAACGCCTCAAACATGCAAGTGTCGGAAGGTGCGGGGAATGCCAGCACATCTGAGGGCATTAATTGAGCGTATTGAAGCACACCCAGCATCCGGGTCTACAAGGCCACAAGGCGGAGCATGCATGGACATACAGCTTGACAACTGCGTGCATACTCTGTTTCAGCTCGTGCTGAGGCCTGCGCGTAGGTGAGGGAGAGACCGGACATGCCCAGGTGTGCGTCTGTCTGCAAAACGATCATCACAGAGACGCAGAGCAGCATGGCACCGCCGATGAGCTCCAGCTGCAGGGCAAACCATCGCTGTAAGCCCATGTTGAGGATCTGAGCCCTTGCACTGGCTTCCAAGACCCAGAGAGCGTGGCTCACCGCTTTCCCCTGCTGGCCAAAGGTTCTGAGGTACTCCCGGCCCTCCAAACACTCCAGCAAGTGGGCGACCACAGGGCCATTTAAAACAGAGACCATCCTGGCACACTCGGCGGCCACTGGGCTGTAGGCTGCGGCCAGGCGCCACATCAGCAAGGCCAGGAGCCCCGCCATGGGCGCCAAGCCCGGGGAACTGAAAAGGATGGCCATCAACGCAGAGAAGAGTGCCGCCACACAGGCCAGGGCCTGAGACAGAAACACGAAACATGCCTACGAGTACTACAGGATGATGATAATCTAAGAGCTGCCACTCTTCAGTACTGCCTCGGATATGTGCACATCATGTCTGCAGTCGGCCTGCGCAAGAAGGGACGGCAGGCGAGCATCAAGGACGTCTAGGTCCTCTCGCCCAACAGATGTAATCATGTGTGTGTGTATGTATATATATATATATATAGGTAAAATGAAAGGTAACACAACATATACATATATATATACACACACACGTATACATATATATATATATGTATGTATGCACATGTATATGCAGTCCTTCGCGAAACGGGACAGCAGCTGGCCAGGCACAGATGCGATGGCCAGATCCTCGGTTCATGATCTGAAGAGCTGTGCGTGCATACGCATATCTGAATAGAACAAAAACAGCTGCACAAACAACAACATACAGTTGCATGTGCGTATGAAAGTATGCATGGTTCTATATAGTTTTATCTCTCTCTATATATATATATAGAATTGTCTATAACTAAAGGTAATTATATGCAGTAATATACAAAATATGTATCCAGAAACGAATGTGTGTGTGTGCATATGTATGTTTATATAGGTATATATATATATACACACCCTTATTTGTGAATATAACTATACTGTATTATTGAAAATATATAGTTCATGCATATCACTAACTATGTGTGTATCTATATAAATATATGTGGTTCGCAGGCACAAGTAAGAACAATGATGGTAACTACCAGTAGCCATAGCTATAACAACAGCACAGCACGGCAAGCATGATCTTGCAAGTAGCAATGACAATGAGTCTCGTTGCCTTCCCTCGTATAGCTGTCGAGGATTGCCGAATGGCACTCCGAATGCTTCTGGCGTTTAGAAGCGAGCAGGTTCTGCACATGTTTGGCAGTCTCTACCCAAACATCATCTGGGAGTCCCGGCCAAGGGTGCCTTCAGAACCTTCCACAGACCGTCCGAATGCCTGCCATAGACTGGCAGGTAAGTCTGGGGCTTCTAACTCTTTGTGCTGCTTTGCCACGATCAGAGAGCAAGGCCGACAGCGTTCCAACGGTGTAACCAGCGTCTGTGGCGCATCTGTGCCGATGCTCGGAGGCATAGTAAAGGCCACGAAGCGGCCTCAACAAGTCAGGTCGCAAGGTTCTACGCTTAGCCGCAGCAGTAACAGGAGTAGTCGTACTTGTAGTACTCATCGTCGTCATCCAGTGGTCGTCTTGGTGGTCGTGGTTGTAGCAGTAGCAGTGGCAGAGGCAGTAGTAGCAGTAGAAGTAGAAGTAGTAGTAGTGGTGGAA